ATAAGGAATTAGCTCACATGATTATGAAGGCTGAGAAGTCCCAAGAGCTTCAGTTGGCAAGCTGGAGACCCAAGAGAGCTCATGATATAAGCTTCTCAACCTTGGGACTTCTCAGGCATTTTGAAAGCCTGTAGGTTCGAGACCCAAGAAGAGCTGATGTTTCAGTTCAAGTCCAAAGGCAGAAAAAGACCAAGGTCCCAGCTCAAACAATCAGGCAGAAGGAATCCCCTCTGACTTACAAAGAGTCAGACTTTTTGTTCTATGCAGGCCCTCAACTGATTGGTTGGGGCCCACCCACATCAGAGAGAGTAATCTGCTTTGATCAAATGTTAATCTTGTCCAGAAACACGGTCACATACACACCCAGAGGAATGTTTGACTAAATATCCTGGCATTCCATGTTCCAGTCAAGTTGACACATAAAATCAACCATCCTAGGCTTGAAGGCTTTATGGGGCAAACTTTGATGACTTATGAAAAACGGCATGGGAAGGAGCTAAAAAATTATTTACGCTTCCTCCTCTGGAACAGGGATTTCTGAGGTAAAATGGTTCCAGTCATCCATTCTGGAGGCTGCTGTGTGGCCAAATGATTGACTAGGTTTCTTGTCAGCTACTCAGAAATGCACCACCACTTATAATTACTTCCTTTCCTTTTTCCATTACTCCTTTCATCCTTAGAAAAAAAAAATCATTTTATTTATAGGTTGTCAACTTGACAAGCTTATATCTAACTTTCAACATGGTCTTTATCCATATATTTTCTTTATGCGTGTGTGTGTGTGTGTGTGCACCTGTAATTGGTTGGAACTGTGAAGGATAGAAAGGCGGCTAAGAGGAGCACTTCCTTCAAGGTAACTTACATGATCATTGAGGAGACAAGACACATGCAACTGAAAAAATAACTAATACAAGGTAGCATGTTGTGCCTTAGGTGTCATAGATCATGCTTTTGTTTTAGAGTACATTTTAGCTCACAAATAATCTTAAACATGTAATAAATATCTTTATCATGTTATGAACTATAATGAATACCATCTGACCAATGTTTTTTTCTTTGAAAATCGCTTTCTTACTCATCTTATTTATAAAAACAACCCAAGCACTGTTCAAATATTCAAAGACCTTTTAAAAAAGGCACTGGAAATTTCACGACTCAGAGTTAGTAACTATAAAAATGTTTGCTGAGGTCAAGAGTTCGAGACCAGCCTGGTTGACATGGTGAAACCCCGTCTCTATTAAAATATACAAAAAATTAGCCAGGTGTGGTGGTGCACGCCTGTAATCCCAGCTACTCGGGAGGCTGAGGCAGGAGAATCGCCTGAACCCAGGAGGCGGAGGTTGCAGTAAGCCAAGATAGCGCCACTGCACTCCAGCCTGGGCAACAGAATGAGACTCTGTCTCAAAAAAAAAAAAAAAAAAAAAAAAAAAATTGGTATAACTTTGTATATTTTTCTGTATAAATTTCAAGATCTGCTCTTTCATGACCTGTGTTTACATTATATTGCACTCAAAATAGATTGAACAATTGCAATATTGAATACGTATTGTGCTTAATTTTTTTAACATTCAGAGTTTGGATTTCTTTTAGATTCAGGGGATATATATGTACTTTTATTACATAGATATATTGTGTAACAGTGAGGTTTAGGTTCCTAGTGTACCCATCACCCAAATAGTGAACATTGTACCCAGTAGGTATTTTTTCAACCCTCATCCTCCCCACTTTTGGAGTCCCCAGTGTCCATCACTTCCTTCTTTATGTCCGTATGTACCCATTGTTTAGCTCCCACTTGTAAGTGAGAACATGTGGTATTTAATTTCTGTTTCTGAATTATTCCATGTAGGAAAATGGCCTCCAGCTTTATCCATAACATTCATAGTTTTCAAAGTCAATAGTATTACTAGGCTTATAAAGAAAACCATAGGTTTCTTTAATACCTCTTCACACACTGATTCTTACTCTCTGGAAGGAACTTTTTTTTTAATTTAGATATTTCTTTAGGCACTAATCTCCATTTTTCTAAACCACATTACATATTATAATATAAAATTATCCTGTTGTTTCTAGATTTTTCTGTTTTAACTATTATGTATTGGTATCCTACAAGATGAGAATTTTATTCTGTATGTCCTCCTCTCTCTGTCTATCTCTGTCTCTCTCTCTCTCCCAATCTTGTTCTCTATCTCTTTTCAGCTTCTCAGTACATGGCCCTTTTTGGTTCAGTCAATGTGTTATTCTATGCTCCCCAGAAAACAGTGCTTAAGACAAAGTTTACATGCTGAGGCTTGATTGGGTGCATCCCAAGACACAAGAGTAGGAGGTATGGGAAAAAAGAAGAAAGCAAATATAAGTGGTGATGCATTACTGAGCAGCTGTAGCCTGACAAGAAACCTAGCCAACACTTGGCCACATAGGGAGGCTCCAGAATGAAAGACTGGAACCACTTAACCACAGAAATGCCCTGTTCCAGAGGAAGAAGAGTAAAGACTTTGTTAGCTCCTTCCCATAAGTCATCAACGTTTGCCCCGTAAAGTCTTAAGTGCTCCACACTTGCAAGTTGTGTGACCCAGCCTTCCAACCAGTCACAGGAGAGGGGTACTCTGTGGACCTGAACCTGGAGCTCAAGGGCTCCTGTGGGGGATGTGATGCATGCACACAGATGCCCTGCTCCCACCCCAGGAGGGCTGAGATGAGGCAACAACCTAGTGGCTAGTACTCTCCACTGAGCAAGGGGCAAAAGCATGGAGTGGGCAGTGAAGAGCAGGTGAGGCCAAGCAAATCTGGGTCATACAAACTGGGTCCAGGACAATAAATATTGATGTTGATATTTTTAAGACTAAGTAGATATTCATAGAAGAGTCATACATTGTCCTAGATTACACTTTCTTGTATAATTTTATTTTTCTTCTTTTTTTCTTACTTTTATTTTCTTATTAGTCATTATTTTATAATTAATTTATTTCCCAATTCTGACAGAATTGTATATATCTGACAAGCAAGCCAGACATTCTGTTAGACATTTTTTTCTTCCTTAGATACATTTCTGTGGAGCCCTCTGCCTCTCCTCTCTAATCTTGTCTTGTTGCTCTCTAGCCTTGCTCAAATCTGTTGTTCTGGGATCTCTTTTTATCATGATTTTGAAATTGGCCTTTGATTCTCCCAGGTATGGCTCCTGTTTCCTGAGGCCAGTGTTTTCCTCTTTCACAGTTATGTTCCCATTTTGCTGGAACAAATATTCCAGTAACATCGTGGGGAAGGTAATATTTTTGAGGTCTTACACATCTGAAGATTTGTCTCCTTACCCTTGATGGACAGTTTAGCTACGTACAAATTTTAGTTTCCCTCAGAATTTAAAAGACATCGCTCTTTTTTCTTTTATATCCCAGTTTATTTTTGAAATTTTTAATGCCATTCTAGTTCCTGAGCTTTTCATTAGCTCAGCCTCGAGAAATATATGTGTGTGTGTGTGTGTGTGTGTCTGTGTGTGTGTGTCTGTGTGTACGCATATGTATATATATAGTGTTGGGAACTCAGAAGACTCCTTCAATCCACAAACTTGCATCCTTCCTTCTGGGAAATTCATTGCATAATCTTGTCTTAATTTCCTCTCCTACATTTTATGTTTGTTTTTCCTGAAACTCCTATCATTTGGACAATGAAACCACTAATGTGATATTTTACATTTCTGACCTTTCCTCCACATTTTACATTTCTTTTTGTTCTCCTCTCTGAGAGACTTACTCAACTTTATCTCTCAACTCTCTTTTGAATTTTTTATTTCTGCTATCAAATTTTAATTCACAAATGTTCTTTCTTATACTCTCTATATTCCTTTTGCAGAACTTCCTTTTCTTTTCCTGGATGCAATCTCTCATCTATCTCCTCTGCTTCTTCTTTCACCCTCTGAATGTTGATGTACTCAGGACTCAGCCCTCAGATGTCTTCTTTTCTCTACCCACATTTTCTTCTTATGTGGTCTTATTTACTTCCATAGCTTTAAATATTATTTATATGTTGGTTACTCCAGCCTTTCCTAGTACACTGTATAAGATAGCTCTCCTTAGCCACTGCCATCTGCCCCATCACTCTCTATTTCCTTCCTTTCCTGTATTTTCTTCATTGTTCTTATTGCTATGTAATGATTCTAGTATGTTGTCTATAGTGTAGTACAATTAGCACAGTAGAGTAAACATTATATAACTCCATAAGGAAATATCTTTGTCTATTTTGTTAAATGTTATAATTTGAATACTAGAAAATACTTTGTCATCATGTTTCACAAATTTTTTTGAGTGAATAAATATCTCTGAGAATATGAAGTCAGATTTTAAAGTGTCTCCTTTCATTTTTTAAACTGTTTCTCTTTCCTCCTTTCCCTTTTTCTATAGGTTATTTAAAGACAAATGTAGGCTTTTCTTTAATCCCTAGATATTTTTGGCCATTCAAATAATAATAATTATTATTATTATCATCATCATCAAAAATACAGATTGGAAGTGATGAACATGAAGAGAATATTTATTGCCTGGTAGGCTTCACTGTAACATGATCAGGCAGGAATTTTGCCATTTTGTTAGGAACCTCAAATGTCAGGATCTGGGGTCTTTTCTACTAGGCCAATCCATTAACCCACAATTTTCCATTTTTTCTTTCTGGAGGTATAACTAGGGTTGCTATTCACCATGTATTCAATGGTATAACCATTGCAGTTTTCAAAATATTGACACACACAACAGAAGCCCCAGGCCCCCCATTTCATCACTGTCTAGCAATAGCAAGTATAGCTGAGAGCCAGTAGGTCCACTGGGACCCTGCTCTAGTACTATTTATTACCAGCATCAGTGACTATGATATACTCATTGCCATGTTCCATATGTATGTAAGCCACTTCTCCATCATCTAGAAAGAGGACGGATGTTCACAGTCACTGTGCCTACTCACCCTTCATGCTCTTATTTAACGCGTACCCTCCTCACACTTGTCTTTTGTTATACCAGGTGTCTCTGAGCCTGGAGCCTGTATGTGTTGTCATCTTTGAAAGGAAAACCTCCAGTATTCTGACAAGGAAGGGTAAGTATATGTTGATTTCTAAATATCCTTTATAAAGTCTTTCAACCAATCTTTCTCCAGCCCAAATATGTACCTCTGTCTTAAAAAATTCCTAGCATCTCTCACAATAGAAACTTCTTAGAGTTTTGCAGTGTGAATACACCAGCTTCCTGTTCGTTTACTCAATCCATTCTGATTTATGTTTCAGCTTTTTCTGCCTTTCTAAGTCAGAAACTCATCCTTGTGCTTTCTAGATACCTCAAATTTAGCTATGGTTGCCTTCTTTCCAATTCTATTTGTCTATTTAGGTTTAAACTTTTTTTTTCTTTGCTGTCTTTTTATATTAAATTGGGTTTCAGGACAGAGTGGAGATAGATGAATGTGTTCAATCCACTACCATAACTGGTATGGATTTTGACCAATAAATTTCACTAACTAGATCCTAACTCAGTCATCTGTTGGTCTTATATATGAGAAATACCGCATGGCCAACATCTAAAAATAATGATCATGAATCTTTCTGCTAAAAAAAATTACTTTTACACACATATACACATATGCATATATTCATTTTAACTCCATAGGAGAAATAGTTTTCCAAGTCAACCTATAGATATGCCCAGGGTTCTCCTTTGAAGAGATTTAATCATCAGCTTGATTCTAAACAGATTTCATGGAACTGAACAAAGAAGGGCTTGTTCCAATTCTTTTAGGGCTTGTTTAAGAGCATGAAGTGCCTGCTATTCTAAGCCATTTCTTTCTAGAATTTCTATTAAATTGTTTATATTTGGACCATTTGTTGCAAGACAACTGCAATTCAAAATAAAAGGATATCTATGTGGTAGATATTTGTTTAGACCTTGATGTCCTGTCAATTGTATTTGCTCGATTTTCCCCTCTTTTTTAGCAAGCATGGATTTTTCTGACTGATTGAACTAAATGTAAACGATTTCTTTTGGCCCAAAAACTAAAATAAAGCTTATTGGATTGGAAACCTAATGTACCCAGTCTTAGGAGTATGCTGGATGCCCAGAGAAAAAGTCTTTGAATAGCTTTTTAAGAATGATGTAAGAATAATTTTGAACTTCATAAACTTTTTTTAAAGACCTGAAATAAATAAACAAAAAAGTAATGGCCTTTAAAACACATGGCTATGACAGAGTTTGAAAAAAATATGTATTATTAAGAAAACTCAAGAGGTGGAATATGCAAAAAAAAAAAAAAAGGTCACATTTTTGGCCAAACAGCATATTAACTCCTCCAACCCCATGATCAGGGGGAATTCCTACCTCATAAATTTTGAAGGGAAGCAGAGCCAGCCTTTGACTATATAAGCCAACAAGGCCATATTATAAATTTCCCAGCCTCCTTTGCAGCTAGAGTATGAACACACAATCTAGGTTGGCCAATCATGTTCACCCACGTAAGAATTTGAATCAGGAGCCAGTGATGCAAGAATGCAGGGCTTAGGGAGAATTTACTTTATTGGCAGCAGTGGCAGGGTGGTTAGGGGCTGTATCCAGAATCTAGTAACCACTGTGAAGATGGTGTCCAGTGTCATCTGTGGCCATCATGGCAGCAGCATCCTCATCAGACAAATTTCTCCTTCCATTCTGTCTCTCTATATATATAATGAGCTCCTTTTCTGCTGAAATCAGATCGATTCAGTTTATCTTGCTTAAAACCAAACACACTGATGAATACTAAAACACTGACTCAACTCTAACAATCCTTTTAAATTACAAGTAACATTTCCATTGGAAAGGTTGGAGTTACTCAAAAAGAAATGGAGTGAGCTATGTTAGAAACTGAACTTGGAGGATTTTGAACAGGTTGGCCTATGTTTCCCTTCCTTTTGTTCTTCAATATAAAACTTTGCATTCTTAACAATGTTCAAATTCCCTTTGTCTCAGAAGATATTATAGTCTCCATTTAGAGGCTATAGTTAGAAGTGCTTTAGCATTTTTTGTAATACTAGGGTTTGCCGGACATAAATGAAGCAATATATTTTCGGCTTCAATGCAGAAAAACCAGGAAGGTTCATTTATGATTTTTTTCAGGATATGATGCCAAACATCCACAAGAAGATTCACAAATCAAAATGAGACCACCAAAGACAGCACTCTTCAAACTGGCCCTCCCTTAAGGTTGCATTTACAGGCTTGCTCTTTCTCTTTTCTTTGTCCTCAGCTGCTTGTCATGAGATGTAGATTATTGTGGTGGATAGAATAAAATGCACTGGGAAGGAATATAAAAGATATTAAAATATAAGCAATGGCTTCCATAAATCTCTGTGAAAGCTTACTCCTTAGAGCTGTGCTTGAGACGTTGAACCGCCTGCTCCCGTGATGCTCAGTCGGCACTCTTAAATTTTAAAAAATCTGCTAAGACCATACAAACTAACTAGTCACTGGTACCCAGGGAGTTGACAACTCAACTTATTGTCTAGCCGTTGTGTGCAGTGAGAAGAAAGTTTAACATGTTGGCCAAGTGCACAGGCTTCAGAACCGGGCACCTGGCTCATTCCTGGCTTGCCTCCTGCTAGCTGTCTGATCCTAAATAACTCATTGGTCTCTCTGAACTACAGTTTTCTTATATATGAAAATGTCCTTAAAAATAACCGGTTTATAGTATTTGAGGATTCATGTAAAGGTATTTGTGTCACTGTCAACATGCCTAACACATATTAATAGTAAGAATACACTACATTACAGCAATCACTATTATGATCAACAGACTCACTCTTGGTCCCTAGTCTTCAGCATCTTCTATTGGGTAGGTCTCTGGCTGGCTTTCCTCATGAGTCAGCTGCAGGAATCTGTCATGCCTTATGTTTTGTGTTTTGGCAATGACTCATTTTACTACTTGGCTCTGTCCTCTACCACTGATACACATGCTCCCTTCATTCTTAAACACGTCCAGTCCCACATGGCCAGTTTCCATTTCTATGTCAAGCAAAATCTAAGTGTTATGACAGTCTGCATTAATGGAAACAACAAACTAAAACTTGTCATTCCTGTCACTCTGCACCACTTTACTTGTGTAACTTCTTACAAATGTCATTCATCCTATTACAGCAAAGCCAGAGAACCAATAGAAGTCTAGTCTGGACAGGGTCAGGCACTGTATCCCTATCCACATGGAAAGACGATACATTGCCCTTTTTGCTTCTGGCCCATTGAACCAATCCACTTACTCAAGCATCACAAAACTTTAAGTTTCCAAGGTACACTGTAAATAACAGCCGATATGCAAATTAGTTGCTCAGGGTGTCCTCTTATGTATTCTCAGCTGCTTTTGTTTTGATATTACCTTCACCCAACCTCAGGCTCGGCATCCTTGGCTCTTTTGGATTTGTTTTCTCTGATATTGAGTTCTCAGATTGCTCGTGTTGATTTTCATGTGGCCCACTCTCCTGGCCCTAGGCATTTCTATTAGGTAAAAATCCTCTGCTTTAGTTTAGGCTTCACAGAAAACATAATCCCTGTTTTAAGTCATGGAGTGTGTGGCAGTAAAGAACACCATTCTAGAAATTCACTTATCTAGGCTCAGCCCTACTTTTTTCACTTTCTAGCTATGTGGCCGTGGTCAAGTGCCTTAACCCATCAGAATCTCCATATTTCATCTGAAAATTGGTGTTTATATTGCTAAAACTATCATACAAGAATCAAATGAGATACATAAAATTCTTAAAAAGTGCTTTCTAAACTACAAGGGCATTATGAACTAACTATTCAACACTAAAATAAAAGATAGCTCGTAAAAGGTCAGCAGGTAATAAAAGGAGCTATAATCTCCCTTGTCCAAAATAAAGATCCATTTTTCTTAAGACGCATTTCTTGAGTTAATCCCTAATGCCAACACTTTAAAGCAAATAGAAACAATAATCTTCAGGGTCAGAAAAATTAAAATATTTGCCACTTTTTTCCTTCATAATATTTATTATGAGCTTTTTAGCTTTTACAACTTAAAAGAAATTATTAACAAGAAAATTGTAAATTACCTCTTGCAAAATTAGACTGGTGAAGACATGAGATTTTTGCTATATTTTTGCATATAAAATACATTTTCTTCGTATTAAGAAAACATGTTTCACCTAAGTCTTCCTTTTGTCATATCCCTGATGACACAAAACAGAGCAGTTTCCTTCATTCAGGTTGAGTAATGGGCAAGTGCAGTTCCCATGAAATGAGATTGCTTGCTGTTGATAAAATAGTACATTGGGTCACCTCATGCCTAGCAAACTTACGCCAGGACTGAATAAAAGAAATGGGTCTCCATTTGCATGTGAGGAAGTTTGAGACGTGAAGGTTGACTTGTGTTCATTTAGGACTGCTATCTGATATCTGGATTTCCAAGGCAGAACCTGTGGCACACTTGCAAGATGAAACTAAACCCTTCCTTCAGGAACTAAGAAAGAAAATGTTTCAATATTAACATCTGAGGTTCCCTGTAAGACACAATTCTCCAAGCCTAAGGAAAGAATTGATTCAACTGAGAATCAAAATGTCTTCTAATTATCCTGTGTGATAGAAAAACAGAGCAATTAAGGAATTGATCCAGTTATATGATGTACACACACCCACCAGTTACACAGCTAACTTGACATTCACTGCTCAGTCCCAGAGTCTTTGTTCTTTAAAAAACCCTTTTCCACATCTCTTCAGGCAATTTGATTTATCATAAATTGTACTGTTACCAACATTCCCTGAACATTTGCTTTTTTTTCCCACTATGAAATTAACTCAGACGTAACAGATGAATGCTTGAGCTAGCTCTGCTCTGTGTATGTGTGTGTTGACTGTGAAGTGGTTCTGTCACTGCTGGATGTCATCTCTAGGCACCGTGCTGCAATCTGTGTGTCCTCAATCTGGACAATGGAGGAGAGAGTGTGGGATCCTTTGGTCACAGGTCTTAGAGGCTTAATAGGGATGGCCAATCAGCTTTATCCTCCCATGCCAACTCCAACAATTGATGGTAGCTGCTGGAATGTTATGAGAGGGATTTTGAGATTGGGTCAAGACTTGGTAGGAAAAAGTGTAGTGATTAATTAGCAATGCTGACTGTGGGCTCAGGAATAAGAGAAGCTGCACCTGTGCCATGTATTTCCCTTCCCTAGGAGCACTCAGGTCCTTGAGTGTAGCAAACCCATCTGCCTAGGGAAGCAGCATGATAATTCCTTGTGGCAAGAGGTTCAACCTGGAAGAGGGCAAGATTTAGAATGTGGGATATTTATATAGCACTTTGCCCTTTACAAAATGTTTTCCCCACATAGGATATCAGTAATTCCTCCCATTCCTACCCGTGGGGCAGGTGTCAATTTTATCTTCATTTTGCCGCAGAGGGATTTAAAGCTAAGGGAATAAAAATGACTAGCCTGAGGTCCCACACGGGTCATAAATGTCAGACTCACTACCTAAACCAGACTTCCTGCTTCTAAGTCCTGTGCTGGAGGGTAGTGAGTCAATCAAGCACTAAGTTTCCCCTAGAGTCAAAGGATGAGACCACACGTTTGCATTGGATTTGTGTAGCCTCTGAAGCACATCTGGATTTCAACACAGAAGCACAGCACACACACTCAAATCCAGTACGGGCACACTCGTGCTTTTTTATTCCTTTTCAGGCAGGCTTCTTTGTGAAAGCATTACAATGGTTTTCATCACACACACATAGAACAGGCAAACAGTTGTTGCTAAATAAAATATAATGCACCTTATTTAAAATGGCTTATCCTGCTTTATTTGTAAATTGATGTTAATCCAACTACTTAGTCTGATATGTTAATGCCTTTGCTACCTATCTTCTGCAGCGTAAAAAGTGAGGTGACTGTTTTGGAAAGAATTAACTTCTTTCTTGAGGGCAAAAGGCTAAACTCCCTCCTGAAGATTCTAGCCAATGGTTCTGATTAGGACACACAGATGTACCTGATACAAATGAAGTCTCAGACCACAGATATTTAATGATTTGGGGGAAAGTTTGGGTACAATAAACTCCCTTCACAATTTTGCACCAACGTCACATATCTTGAAATAAAGAAGATATTAAGAATTTCCCCATTTCCAATGCTTAGGATCATATGTAGGAGAATGATTAAACTTACATGAGCGATTTATAATGTTCACAGTGATTCTGCCTGTATTAAATCTCAGCATCAAAACAGTCTGTGAGATAAATATCATTTTTTCTCACTTTTCAGGTGAGAGAACCAATATACACAGAAGCAAAGGAGTGACTTGTCCTACTAAAAATAGTCCATTTAAAATTCAAATCTGGCATTCTTTAGGCCTTATCTTCTGTTGTTTCACTTATAGCACCCTCTCCATAGAAGTAAATACTACCTTACATGTGTATAGCACTTCACAGTTTATAAATTCTTTTCATTCAAATATTTTAATTCATGGTTTTGCTACTTTAATTCAAACATTTATTCACCATCTACAATGTACCTGCCAGACATTATTTTAGGTACAAATGGTATAAGGTCTCTGCTGTATTCGTGTTTATATTATTAGTTGGAGGGAGACAACTGAAGAACAAGTAAGCAAACAAATTAAAATAAATTCAAATGGTGATAACTAGTACCAAGAAAATAAAACAGGATAATGTGATGGTCTATGACCAGTTGGTGGTAGGAATGAAATGTACCAGTGTGAAGCATTTGGCGGGGTGAATAGAAAAAGCTTATTTGAATAAAAGATGTCATGTGAGCTGACAGCAAGATGGCAAAGAGAAAGCAGAGGGTGTTGGGGGAAAAGCATTTCAGTCCTGATGTGGGAGAGAGGTTGATATTTGCGCAATAGAAAGAAGGCGTGTGTAACAGGAACTGAATGTGCAAAGGGAAAGAAACAGAAGAGGAGATTGAAGAGATAAGCACAGGCTATGACAGAAGGGTCTTTTAGGCCATTTGTTAGAATTGCACTCCAATGTTTACAGAATGACTTTGCAGAGTTTTTAGAAAATTTAATTCCCACAATAATCTGTGTTAGGTTTGTTTAACAAATTAGAAAACTTGGAGATTTACCTAAGGATACACAACTAATAAACAACAAGACTCCAGTGTTTAGGATCCTAGACTAGGCTTACTTCCTCATATCCTAAAGGAAAAAATGAAAACGAACTCACAAAGGAGGAATATAGTACAGCATCAGGTGACTATCCCATGAATATAATGGGTGAATTTCCTAGGGCAGACACAGGGCTCACTCATTATGGGAAGTCTTACAACTGTTTGGCTCCAGCTGGAAGAAGATACTACATTTCTGAAGGACTTTTG